CCCCAAAACCCCAAAACCCCAAAACCCCAAAACCCCATATCTAGAATTTAATATTGAATATTATAGACCAGAAGTTATATTTCTTTCACTAAGAGTTCCTCAATTTCATCAATATTGTGCTGATAGATATCATTATAGTATTCATCTTCTTTTAACTCTTCTCTTAGAATGTTACAGAATTGTCTAATTCCTGTTTTATCATAAGGAACCTTATCTTTTGGGCTTTCTAAAACTCCGTTTATTTTATCAATGAATTCTGGATATAGACAGTCACTATAAACCTTGCCTGAATTGATCAGACCCTTCCTGACATGGAAGTTAATATCCATTAAAGCCCAGGTGAACTTGTGCTCAATAGAATGGGTGAAGTCAGGAGTAGTGCCATACTTCCATTCCCATTTGTTAAGTCCTTCATAGATCTCCATGATCTTGTCAACTTGTCTGATTTGCTCTTCAGGAATCACCTTTGTGAAGACGTCTTTATCTTCATGTTTATTATGAAATTCATTGATCATGGATTCCATCCACATATCATAGGTAATATTTGGGTTAACCTCTGATAAGTTCATTACTCTAGATCTGACAGAATTCACACCTTTGCTTTCTAGTTTCTTCTTACTAGGAGTTAGATAATCATTCAAGAATGAGAAATCTACGTCAACAAGCATAGTTCCATGATGGAGAGCCTTCTTTCCACTTCCATCTGCCTTTCCAAGGTTTATTTTATAAGCAGATCCTGAGATTTTTCTGTCTCCAATTACCATATCATTTCTTCCACTAGCTTCAGCTCCATAAATACCACAAGCTTCAAGAGATTTAATCAAAATCTCATTGTTCTTAGTTTTATAATCAGAGGTCTGGAAGTCTTTGACTGGAGTAAAGAATGAAAATACAGCATTTCCTAAATCTTGATACACACAGCCACCACCTGACTTTCTTCTCGCAAGTACGATATCATCATCATTATTAACCTTCTCAACAGCTAGCTCCTTCCACGGATTTTGATGTTTCCCAATAATAACACATCTCTGGTTTCTCCACAAGAACATAACCGGGTTATCAATCTCACAATGCTCATATAGATATTCCTCAGTCGCTAAATTCAACAACACATCGTTAGATTCCTGTACCAAAATATTAGCAACGCCTTTTCCAGGAACAATGAATTTATTCGGATCAGTCATGGTGGAATACCTCCTAAAGGAGCGGCCTAAAGCTCTGTTAAACATATTTAATATTATCTGAATTTGTACTATATTTTTAAAGTGATCTGGGGTTTTGGGGTTTTGGGGTTTTGGGGTTTTGGGG